GATTGTTTTGTTGCATCAGTGTGAAGTGTCTGACACTAGTCCCGCCCAGACCCAGACCAGACCCGCTCCGATTGGTCAGCTGTGTTAAAGGTGAGAAAGCAAGGCAAGGCCAGTTTATCTAATGTAGGCCTCTTGGAAGCCTCCCTGACCAGTTTTCTGTTCGTCTTTTCATCAATTTTGGAGGGACGTCCAGTTCTTAGTAAAGTCACAGTTGTGCCATATTTTCTCCACTTGATGATGACTGTCTTCACTGTGTTCCATGGTATATCTAATTTGGAAATTCTTTTGTACCCGTCTCATGACTTATGTCTTTCAACAATGAGATCTCTCTGATGCTTTGAAATCTCTCTGCGTTCTGTGGCTTTTGCTCGGAGATGCAACTAAGAAAATATCAGGAAAATCCTCCTAGAACTGCTGAACTTTATTTGTGATTAATCAGAGTCACTTTAAATGATGGCAGGTGTGTAATGACTTCTAGTTAACCTGAGTTTGAATGTGATTGGTTAATTCTGAACACAGCCACATCCCCAGTTATAAGATGGTGTGCACACTTATGCAACCAGGTTATTGTAAGGTTTTTATTTTTCATTTTTCCCCTCAAAGATTTCAATTTCTTTTTCAATTGAATTGTTCACATTATAGGTCACATTAAAGGTGGAAAAAGTTCTGACGTGGTTTATCTTTGTCTCATTATTTTACATCATAAGAACCTGGCATTTTAACAGGGGTGTGTGGACTTTTTCCATCCACTGTATTTAACAGTAAAGTCCGAGTTAGGAGGTTGTTGAGGTGGATGGTGGGCCAGAAACCAGACTTTCACCCAGAAGACTGGTGTTTGTTTCCCGTGTGAAACAAAAAGTCAACATTAAATGTGTTTATTTAAGCTAACTGACTTAACACAGTTTAATCCAAATCATGATCCTCTCCTAAACCTAACCAAATTTAGATGTTTCACAACAAGTACTTTTACTTTGAAAGTCTAACCGGATGTTGTATATTTATTGTTGCTAACATCACCGCGGAGGCCTAAACATTGAAAAACAACGCTAAACGGTACCGAGGGCGTTAAAAGCGTCCATATGTGACGAGTTGTGATGAGAACGTGTTGAGTTTGAACGTCTCTCTCGGTTTTAATTCTTCAGTCACTTTTCATGCAACACGACGAACGTCTTCAGCAGAGACGGTCTGAGTTCACCGTGCCACGCACCCCCATCTCTGCGATGACTCGCTCGTTACTTTCAGCTATAGCACGACGCATCTTAAGCATACTGAGACCTTCAGGACAGAGCTGTGCATTAACAGGTTTAGCAGTTGCTTCAGACCACGTACGAAATAATGTAGCCGCAGCCGTGCAGCTCCTCAAACACGTAAAAGAGAGAGAGAGACCACATGGAGACACAAAGAGCTGTTATTGGTCAGTTGAGAGTTACTTCCTGTGAAGAGAACGCTGTGATGCGACTCAAATTCACTCAGTTTCTACCAGGCAGAAGACAATCACGCTGCAAGGCATTGTGGGATTCCAGGCGACGCAGGCGACGTGAAACGTGGAGGTGTCCAACACTAACCATTTCTAATGCTGTGGAAGTGAAATTCGCCTGGAAGCTACTCAATAACAACAAACGGACAGACTGGTGGACTCCTGTTTTGAAGCCTGGAGTTTGGCAGTTTGGCCGCCGCCATGTTGATATTTTGCAACCAGGAACCAGACGTGACCATATTTAGATGAGAGGGTGGAGCCAGCTAGCTTGGTTAGCAAAGGGCACCTGTAATTCACATCAACTGTGATGTTAGCTGGGATGCTAATTTTAGCTACCGACAAACAGGCTTAAAACAAAACGTACTAACTGAAAAATGAGCAGCCGACTCCTGATGAGCTTTTTCAGCGGCACTCGTTAAATATTCACAGAGCAGCGGATACGAGTCGCCTGTATCCTGATTGACAGGTTGCCAATCAGCTTGTAGCCCCGCCCTAAAGCCTCCCCTGCTTCCTGGTCTCTGTTCCTCTAAATGGGACCAGAATTTACTAAATGAACATCATGCTGTGTTGAAGAAGACTTGAAACTAGCGACTGAGACCAGAAACTCATCAGGAAAGTGTTTACTGAGGGAATAAATCAGCTGACAAGTAGAAACGTTTTCTCAGAGACTTCTATACAATCACACTTCTTTCTGCTGGCTGCTGGAGAGGACGCAGGTTTAAGGTGCTTCAGCACTCTGCTACAGGGAATGAATGTAAACATGTGAACTGTGTCAGTAATAAGACCAGGACAGACAGAAAGACTCGGACCTCTGTGGTCTCGGTTTGAGGAAGAGGACCACTGCAGGTCTGGACTGGAGGACGTGGTCCAGTTCTCAGGGATCACGTGGCTCAGCGTCCATGACAGGAAGCTGGAAAGGAGGCGACACAGAACAGCTCCGACTGCAGGAAATGGTAGAAACAAAACATAAAAGTCATTTTTATTAATTGTTGTGGTTTCGTGTTTCTTGTGACATCTCTCAGTGTGTCTTTGACTGATGGGTTTCCTTTAAACCGTCGCTCTCTGGGCGGTGACCTGATTTCCCCTCTCGGGGTCGGTTAAGGTAAATGCACTTTTTTTTTTTTTTTTAAATCTCAAAGCTGAAAACAGAAACTGACGAATTAAAACAGATTAACCCTTTAAACGCCGCAGCGCTCGCCGTCCTCCACCACCTCCTCCTCACCATCTGACCGTCTCTCTTTACTTCACGAGGAGCTGCAGCTTTTGTCTTTTTGGAGGCTGCCATGTTCATTCCTGCTTTACAGGCTGTTGCTAGGTAACTTTACAGCGTTGGGCACGTTGCCATGGTGATACTACAGCACAGCGCTGCGTTCACAAGCGGCTGGTTGATTCCAGTTCAACGTTACTAACAAACACCACAGTTATTACAATCACTCACTTCCTGTCGATGGAATGAGAAATGTAGGGAAGTGAAAAGTACTCATTGAGGTATTTTACTTCACATTTTCTGCTACAGGTTCACTCTCAGAGCCTCGTTCCTACAGAAGAACACACGACAAACACGATTGCACACGAAGCAGCATGTTGATCTGCAGCAGCTGGAGGAGATAAGCTGCCGTCTGATCAGCATGTTTGATACGTTAACAGCGGGAGGGAAACTTTATTTATTGCAGGTTTATAATAAAGTTTCCAGAACAGAACCTGATGAAGATCTTGGTGACCATCAGCAGCAGGTTGATGAATGATTGTCTTTATTTATTTATTTTTAAACACTTTATTTTATTCATTTTCTATTAAAGAGGAACAAAACACGTATATAACAAACCCCAGCGGCAGGTCTGGGTTCCACTCATCATATATCACACCCACTATTACTTTATAACATTTTAACTTCACATATGTCGTATTTCCCTTTATTCCAACAGATGTTGATAGAAAGTGAAGAAATATTATTCTATGTTGCTTTGATTTGTAGACTCCAATTATCGTTCTGTTTATTCCATTTGTATCTAGATCTACGCTGTTTTATTTATTTCTCATGAGACTCCTTCACTGAGAGGATCTGAAATGGTTGTTCAAAGTATAATTTTGTTTCAGTTCCTGATATTTCTCTCTCTTAATACTGTGCATAATGCCTGTTGTACCACCTGATATCCATAGTTTGAACCTCTCGTCAGGAGATAAACTCTGTCACAGGTTTTCCATCGCAGCAGTCTGAGCTCTTTGTCTCGTCTGTTGTTTTTTTATTTAGTTTGAGACAGTTTGTCCGCAGTGTGTAAGAAGTTCTGCAGCTGTGCTTCAGTCCAACACGTATGTGCATGAACACATCCTGCAGTGTGTACTTGTACCTGCAGTGTGTACTTGTACCTGCAGGGTGTCGGTATGAATGAACCGGAGCTCCTCTCTGTGTCTGCCGCCTCCTGCTGCTCACGTTCGGTCACTGCAGCTCTCTTTGTCTTTCTCTCTCTCTCTGCAAACAGTCGACATGAAGACAGCTGATGATCTGCTGAACGATTCCTCGATGGATGGATTGGTACATTTCAGGAAATGTCAGATAATACAGGAGGCTCAAGGCGGCGGCTTTCAAACGCATCCTTTCGCAAAATGTCCAGCTGCGGACCAACAGGTGCAGAACATTAGAATATCACAGAAAAGTTAATTTTTCTTTAATATAAGTCAAACAGTGAGACTTATTCTAGATTCATTACATAAAGTGAAATATTTAAGCCCTTTTTTTGTTTTACCCTTGATGATTACAGCTCAGGGAAATAAAAACTGCAGGTCTAAAAACATATTACAATAAAGAATGTAAAATATAATATGTAGAATAATGACTAACAGGGGAAATTAGATTTTCTGTGATATTCAAATTCTCTGAGATGCATCATAAATACATTACAGTGTGTACATGTACCTGCAGTGTGTACTTGTACCTGCAGTGTGTCGGTATGAATGAACCGGAGCTCCCCTCAGTGTCCGCCGCCTCCTGCTGCTCACGTTCGGTCACTGCAGCTCAGTCGACACGAAGACATCAGCTCATCCTGATCGACAGATTTACTGTTTGGGACATTTTAGGAAATGTCAAAAATACAGCAGGCTTAAGGTGAAGTCTTTTAAACGCATCTTACTTATCAAAATAATATCAAGAAAATTCTGCGATCCATTAACTGACTACTGATTTCAGCTTTGATCCAGGTTTATTTCCCTACTTAAATAATATTCATGAGCTTTAATGACTTCATCTGGATATTTTCTGTCAGCTTCCTGTGATGATTTGTTTTATTCAGAGTGTCGACACATCTGTACAACAACTTTACCTGAATATTTAACTCAGGTCTGATATTATTATTATAAATCTGATATTTGAGGTGAACTGGACACATTTCATACCTTAAATCCGTACTTCAGTTCTCTGCAGCAGCGCAGCTGAACGATCACAAACCACCAACTAACTAGTACTTTTAATATTGACTGATGACACGTGTTTTCAGTCTGTCGAGTTAAAAAAAGAATCAAGGACACATTTTAGAGCAACTTTGTCTCTGACAGTGTTTTAATCTGGAGCGGCAGCAGCCAATCAGAGAGCAGGACGGACGTCGGCTGACTGTTTCAGAGCGTCCTTGAAGGCACCACTGGAAACACTGAACAGCTGAAGGTTTTTCATCTCCAGTCTCTCATCTTCTCTGTGGCGTCCTGTGCTCAGCTCTGGTCCTGGTCTCAGACCTAGTCCTGGTCCTGGTCTCAGACCTAGTCCTGGTCCTGGTCGTCGCCCTCGTCTTCCTCCTCCGGGGCGTTTTGCCGCCGAACGCTCGCCTCTCCACCCTCAGCACCTCCTCGTACAGGTACGCCGGCTTCACGTCCAGCAGGAAGCAGAAGAGCTGCAGCAGCCAGACGAACGTCCGAGGCAGCGTCGCCTCCACCTCCGAGTAGTGACTCCTGCACTTCCTGCAGAGGAGAAGAAGAAATCAGGATGTCTGCAGGACGAGGGCGACAGTTTACACGTGAGGCAAAAACATCACCGTCACGTGGCCGGCCTACCGGGGGTCGCAGCGTCGGAGCTCCGGGTGCCAGTATGTGGCGTTGGAGGGCGTCAGGACTTTGTGTTTCAGGGTCAGAACTCCATCCAGCTTCTTCTGGTGCAGACTGGGTCCGTCCGCTCCGTCCTCGTCCCCCCAGCAGAACCTGAAGCTGGACGGAAAGCCGCGCTCGACGCCCGCCGGACGAGAGGACAGCTTCTCGAAACAGACCTGGACCTGCTCTGCGATTCCTGCAGGGACACAAACAGCAGCTGGTTCAGGATCAGGTTCAGGATCAGGTTCAGGTTCAGCACCGGACCAGAGAACATCCGCACAACATGCAGCTTCGAGCGAACAGGCTAACCGGAGGTTCACAATCCTGACCGGGCCTCCGCGTGGTTCAGATGGATCTGTGATATATTTGCATCAGACGTCTGTCGCTGAAACTCAGATTCTTACTTTTCTTTTTCATAATGACAGTTTTCTCCTTCTTGTTCATGCAGAGAGGTTTCTTAGGTTTCCACTGTTTCCTGCGGACGAGAGAGAGAAACATCAACACGATGACGTTTACAAAACAAAGACGACATCACCTGAAGAAAGTCAGTGAACGCTGAAGCTCGTAAACCGAAAACTTCAAGACTCCGACCTGAGAACAGGAAGTCTGCAGACGGGAGAACTAAGAGCGTTTCTGAGTTTTTAAACCTCAGGTGGTTCAGATCTCACCTGGCGATGTCGCGGTCTCTCCTCTGCTGACCCCGGATCAGAGCGGCCTGCAGCAGCCTGAACCACCTCCTCAGGCTGAACATGTTTCCTGCAGGAACATTTTATTATTATTATTACTTCACCTGAACGACTCGAGCGTGCGGCTGAAGGACTCACCTGCGTCGTCACGGTCGCCTGCTTCATTGGACAAATCCCTGAAAGACACAAACAGTTTTAAACTCTTCAGCTTTAAAAAATAAAACTTTCTTCATTTTCTTTTTGCCTCCGGACAGGAAACGCATCACAGCTGATCCTGTTCCTGATTGGCCCTAAAACGTCCCTGAATTCTCTTGTTCCAGCTCCAAACCAACCGATCCAGGAACAAACAGATTAAGGCGCCGTTACCATTCAGTGTGGTCGTCCAGGCCGAAGAGGAGCTTCATGGTGACGATGATGAGGGCGGCGGTCTGGACGTCGTACCGCGGCAGGACGGGACAAGACGAGGCGTCCAACGTGTGGAGCGTCTGATCCGCCATACCGGCGTGCTCCATCATCCGGCAGACCCACAGGTGAAGGTCGTCTGGGAAACAAGGACGCCACGCCATCAGCACGCCATGCGTTTAAACCAGGTGGGAAGTACTATCAGTACTTACTACTGTTAATACTGTAGTACTGTTAGTATCAGTACTACCATTAGCATCAATAGCAGTACTAGTAGTTTTGTTAGAACCAATAGTACAGTTAGTAGTACAGTTAGTGGTACCAGTAGTACAGTTAGTAGTACTGTAGTACAGTTAGTGGTACAGTTAGTGGTACCAGTAGTACAGTTAGTAGTACTGTAGTACAGTTAGTGGTACAGTTAGTAGTACAGTTAGTAGTACAGTTACTTTTACCAGTAGTACAGTTAGTTGTACCAGTAGTACAGTTAGTAGTACAGTTAGTAGTGTCATTAGCATCAGTAGTAGTACTGTAGTACAGTTAGTGGTACCAGTAGTACAGTTAGTAGTACTGTAGTACAGTTAGTGGTACAGTTACTTTTACCAGTAGTACAGTTAGTAGTACAGTTAGTAGTACAGTTAGTAGTACAGTTAGTGGTGTCGTTAGCATCAGTAGTAGTACTGTAGTACAGTTAGTAGTACTGCAGTACAGTTAGTAGTACAGTGCAGTAGTACTGCAGTACTGTTACCGGGCAGGTTGGCGTCCGTCAGGTAGCGCAGGCTGAGCAGAGCCGGGTGCAGCAGACTCTGCCGGCTGATTGGAGGAAAAGCAGGAAGCTGCAGGAACTGGACCAGAGTCTGAGCCTCCTTGTGGACCTCCTGGTGGGACGGGACCCTCTGAGGAGAGAAACTACCTTCAGTCAGACAGTTTCACCCGCTGAAGGTTCGGTACCTGACGACAGAGTCCTGGATTATCCAGAGTCTGACCTCCACTCTGAAGATCAGACCGTCTTTGCCCTCGAGCCTCATCTCCTCGGGAAGTTCTTCGTAAGCGTTCACATACGGGACGTGGCCTTCGTTCACCAACCTGAAACCAAACACATCGACTGACTGCTCCAGGACCTTCCAGGGCTTTCCAGGACCTACCCCGGAGCCTCCGGGGCGTCATGGTGTTTCAGCAGGTGTGCGTCGTTACCTGAGCAGGTCGCTGAGCGTCAGCGGCTCCCGGATCCAGATCAGAGCCAGATGGATCAGAGCCAACGTCTTCTTCATGGTCATGAGACCGCGGGCCCGCCTCAGCCGGGTCGACAGGTAGCTGACGGCGTCCACGGAGCCCGACCACTGCGACCAATCGCTGGAGCTCTCTGAGGAGGTAACGGAGACATTTTTTATTTACGTTTAACGTCCTGGCGTAGTTCAGAGAGACTTCAGACTGCTGGTTCAGTTTATCTGATTCCAGAAGTCTGTAAACTTATCGGATTATAAATAAAATAAAACACCTGTATTTGTGTATTGGACAGTAGTTTCTCTATAAAAACAGATTATTCTTCATTTTATTTTGAAAATCCCAGAATATCTCCGTGGTTATCTGCCTCCATGTTGAGTCAAAGTGACCCGAGTTTACAGTGTTTTAATAAACCGGCCCAGAGTCCACTGAGTTTCTGGCACATTTGACTCCACCTGCATTCGACCCGGCGGTGCTGGACAGGTTCGCCTCTCCGTCCGTCTCGCTGGCCGACACGGCGGACGACTCGGGCGCACTGTCCGAGTCCGAGTCCGGACCTCGCTGAGGAGAGACGGACGGCTCATGAGCTCACGATCAAATCAGCTTTACATCACAAAAGTTAAAGTTTATTTAATATTCTATAAAACTCTTGAAACGACAGCAGAGCTCTGAAAACGGACCTGAAGGTTTCCAGTAGGACAGATGAGACAAAAAGAGACGCTGATATAAAATAAACCGTCTAAACTTTTTTTATAATTTAAGAAACTGAGCTGAGGTGACGTCTTTTATTTGAGAACAACAGATCTGGACGAACTCATCCACACTTTTATCTGCTCCTGCTGCGACTCCCTGCTCACGTCTCACGTTTGTGCGAAACGCAGCAGCTCGACTTTTAACTCGCTGCAGAAACGGAGATCTGGCAGAGTCTGGTCCTGGTTTCCTCTCGCTTCATAAGACTCATTTATACGAAAGAGTGTGTGAGACCTAATTTATTTTTCCTTTGACTTGTTTTTGTTTTATTCGTTGCTCTGCTGATTTGCTGTAAAGCTCTTTGTTACCATGAAAGTGCTTTAAAAATAAAGCTTTCATTATTAGTATTATTATTGCGACTGCAGCTCCTACTGGATCTAGAAAGAGTCCCGGGGCTCAAGGGTTCCCAAACTGTTTTACACAACCATCTTGGCCTCCTGCTGCACCGAACATTTCACAGGACAGTTTCTTGTCGGCTGCATCTCCGTCTGTCTGTGTTTTCCCCAAAACTCACTCGTGGATCAAGGTGAGAGCCAATCAGAAGCAGAGAAGGGGCGCTTAAATTATACTCCTGCTGTAGCTTTATGCAGAAACCGTCGCCTCACGTTTAAACTTGTGCGTTGGAGTCTCTGCAGTTCCACCTTGAATAATAATCATGAGCTCTTCTAACTTTCCAAATGTTTCCGACCGAATGGATCAAAGTGACGGTGAAACATTGCACCTAAATTCAGCGGCGGTGCAGCTACATTTTTCACTCAGCAGTGCAACACTAGTCTGGAGCTCTGAAGTTATTTATTTAACAGCATTTTAATTAACTTCTTTAACTCTGCTGCTGTCTCATTCTTCAGTCAAACTTATCGATCGATAAATTAAGCTGCTGAACTTCATACTTCCTCATCCGGACGAAGAGTATTTGGACCGAGCGGCTTGAACTGACCACTTTAAACTTGGCGCTCCTCACTGGGTTGTGGGTGTAGGCCTGCCGACTCCTCTGCAGGTAGATCCTCCACAGCTGACACAGCACGTCGTCCTGAAACAACACAGTCAGTACAGCCTCTCCTCAGGGACCAGATCCAGCTCTGAGTCCTGGTCTAATGAACACAGACGGACCTTAAAGTGAGGACTGACTCCCAGTTTGAGCAGAGCGTCGGCCTGGTTCCTCAGGATGAACTGGAAACCCTCGCAGATCATCCACTCACGGCCGCGCTCTGAGAAAACACACAATCCAGGAAGTCAAGATCACCAAAAAACAGAACACGTTTACACAGATTCAACAAGACCGACGTAAAAACCAGCAGAAATCTGTAGAAATTCTGCTTCCATCATGAAACTAGAACATTTAAATATTTGTTTACACTTTAAATGTCACAAAACGTCCAGCAGAGTTTTCCAGAGCTCAAGACGACGACTTCAAATGTCTCGTTTTGCCCGAACAACATCTCAAAACCCCCGAACTATAATCATCTCACTGTGATAATAAACTGATCATGTAAAGTGATCCAGTCGGTGGATGAATCGAACGATATTTGCACTCATGAGGACGACAAACAGGAAGTGTCTGCAGGCGGCCTCGTCAGGGAGCTGCTGGTGAACGATGTCAGCGCTCCTTCCTGCGAGTTTGTTTAGTTTAGAGCCATAAATGCTCCAAATATCTGGAACAAACTCCCAGAAGCTGAATCTGCTGAATCTCTCAGGCCTTTTAAAGAGACTCAAGACTTTTTTATACACCGCTGCCTTTTAACTTGAAAGTCTTTTACCGTCCTGTTTCCTGAGTAAACTCAGATATTCTCTCTCATAAGGAGTCAGACTGAGTCTTAACGGGTTCGGTCCAACAGCTTTTACCACGACCGCGGTGCAAATAATCTGGATTCACGGTGACGAACGTGAATTAGAGGAAACAAACATGGTGCGATAAAGATGGATTGACAGCAGCGAGAGATCAGAAAAAAGAAAAGCAAAACAACGTTAGAATTACAGCTGAAAAAGATGTTTAACCTGTTTTTATTTTCTATTTGACTCTTTCTAAAATGTCCCTTTGTTGCTTTCATGTTTTTATATAAAGCACTGGGATTTGCCTTGTTGATGGAAACAAATAAACTCGCTGGGTCTAAATGTCCTCAGGCACCATCGTCTTTTCTAAATGATCTAATCTAACAATTAAATATAAATATATATTTATATATACACTGCAGAGAACAAAGCAGCTGAATGACGCTCTGAAATCTACAGCAGAACCCAAAGTATGTTTGTTTCATTCGTTGATGAAACTTCATCTGAAACAACACGTTACTGCCGAGAGAACACGGAGATTAAATTATGGATTATTATAAAAGGACTTTTCTTTGTGACATCGGCCGTTTAAATTCAAGTATCAGTCGACCACTAATCATATAATTTAGTGGCTGATTTAATTTGTTTTCTGCCCTGAATCATCCAAAACACCAAACCGATGCTTTATTTAACAAAATGATGTTGAACAAAAATCTGAAATTACATTTAATAAAATGTAAACCTGGAAAATCAATTAATCGATGAGTCAAAGCAGAGAAATGTGATGAGCAACTATTTAGGTTATCAAGAAAAACAATAAACAAACAAAACATTTTCCCTTAACCAGAATAAATGTTTTATTTCCCCGTCGGTTCTGCGGATGTGTAACCCGGCTGAGTTTGTGGACTCACCGGGCCCTTTGGTTCTGGCTCCTCTGCCGATGGTGGAGATCCTGTTGGCCCCGGGGGTGAAGGTGGCGTCCACCACCTCTCTGGTTCTCTGAGGACGTTACAAACATGGCAGAACCAAACTAAACTCCAGGTTCACTGCAGCCTGAAACTCAAACTTAATGTTCTATTAATTAATCTGCTGCTTCCTGTTTACTCCCTCTCACAAACTTCAGAATAAAAGCTGTTGATCAGGTTTATTTTACACCAGAACATCAGGGGCCGTGGCAGGTTATCCAGCAGCTGAAGCTTTATGTAACGTGTCACTGAGGTTTAAGCTTATTATCTGCATTAGACAGGAGGTAATTAAAGTTATCGATCAGCTTGATTCCAGAGCTCTAAAGATGAAAACGAAGGTTTGAACCGTCTGTTTTAACAGACTGCAGGACCCTGTTTCAGAAAGCAGACCGAATAAAACCCGAATAAAACCGCTGCTCCTTCTGTTACATTAGACTTTAAATGATATTTATTCAGCTGACGGGACAAAATGCAGGAGGCAATAACTGAAGATGAAAGTCTGACCCAGTAATGATTCTTTTAGTGGCAAATTTTTGCAGTGAAATAAAATGTTTCTTGGTTCAAACTGACTAAAAGTTTTAAATTTATCAGCTAATAATGAAAAACTCACTTTTAAACTAGATTTATTTGTTTCAGCTGCAGCACAGTCATCCTCACTCAGAGCGGGATTATTATGTTTTCTAAAAACTTCTCCCGCATATCAATACTTCCTGATTAGAGCTGCAACGATTAGTCGATTCAATTAATCACCAACTATTTTAAATATTGTTCAGAGTAATTTTCTAGAAAAGAAACGTCCAAATTCTCTAATTCCAGCTTCTATAATTGAACATTTTCTGGTTTCTTTGCTCCTCTGTGACAGTAAACTGATTATATTTGGGTTGTGGACAAAAACAAGTCATCTGAGGACGTCACTTTGGGAAACACGCAGAGGCATTTTTCACCATTTTCTGGACCAAACAACTAATTGATTAATCGTGAAAGTGATTGACAGATTACTAAATAATGAAAATAATCGTTAGTTGCAGCCGTAGTTCTGACTTGTGCTTTGACATCGATCTGGGGCTTATCTGATCTCTGAGTTTTCCTCATCTCAGGCTGAACATACTCAGAGTTTTCGGGAATCACGCTCTCTTCTTAAAACCTTACTTCCAGTAACAGAAAGGATTTTCAAGTGCTGCTGCCACGTTCATGAATCTCAAAGATCCAAAACACATCTCTGACCTCCTTCAAGAACATAAACCTTGTAGGAACCTTCGACGTTTAGGAGGCAGTCAGCTGGTAGAACCTGGAGTCAGAACCCAACAGCTGCTTTTAGCTGCACAAAGACGGAACCGACTTCCTGATGAACGAACAGCTGCTGCAGGAAACTGATCGGCACGTGTGAAATCATGTTGACATGAGGTGTTTTCATAAGGGCCATCAGATCAGCTGTTGTTGTTTACCTCGATGACCATGTGGCAGGATCTGCAGTAGAACCGACCCTCGTCTGAAACGCCCCAATCCACCGCTGCACACTGAGCACAGGGCTCCCGGTACCCGGCCTGAAAACACACACACACAGTATAAATGTAAACATACAACAGTGACTTTCTTCTGAAAATCCAACTTTGTTCCTTTAGTTTCACACACAGTTTAAAAATGTGACCCAACAACTGTGTTTACTGATATCCAGAACTCCTGAAACTAAAAACAAAAGCTTTTATTTGAGTCATCAGGAGACAAATGTCACGTGTTTCTGTAAAACTACAACTGTTTAAACTTCTATCAGGTAAAGAAGAAAGAACCAAAACTTCATGTTATTACTTTGTACAACACATTCAGTACAAACAAACTGATACAAATGACAACAAACCGAAGGGAACTGTATTTTTTTAAATACCCAGAACGCATCTCGCCAAGACTCAATTCATAAAATTAATATTTACTCGCTCCCTGCTTGGTGAAAATTGTAATTAGGGTGTAAAAGGTCTTGAAAAGCTTTTTTACAACTTTATATTAAATTCGGCAAACAATAAAACACAATAAAACACAATCTAGACAGAGTTTCACGGTTTATCTGGAGTCCACACTAACTGACTTAAGCTGGGTTAAAGCCTGCGACGGGCTGAAACAATAAAACACGTCTTTGATTAATGTGACAGAAAACATGCGCTGATTGATTTACTCAAATACAAACAATAAAAAAAGAGATTGTGTTAAATGTTTGTTCAGCTCATGCCTGAAATTACACAGATATTTGAATGGAGTTTGGTGCGCGCAGACTGCGCTAACACCGTTAGCTTTAGCGTTAGCTTACAAGCTGGTGGCTCCTTTATGAAAGTAGCAGAAACGTTCAGAAGAAATTACCGTATATTCTTCGTCCATTTTCACCTAAAAAACAAGCCTTTAATCCGGTAGTTTTAAAGTTTAGCTGCAGTTCGTCCACATGTGGAAGGTTTGTTTGGTCTCTCCTTCTTCTTCCGCCACTTCCGGTGGTCTGATCGCGGCGCCGCAGCGCTCTGCTGCTCACAGGCCGGAACAGGAACTACAGCTTCCTCCAGCTCCCTGCAGTCAGGAATTAACACAATATAACTAATATTACTAAATAAATGCATTTTATTAATACAAAATAAAATAAATAAAACATTTAAATGATTAAAGGAACAAACACAATCTTACTAATATTCAGGAATTCAATAAATAATATAATACAGTCAAAATAATAATTTGACTTCACCTCTTAAAGCCAGTAAATTCTGTGAACTACATCAACGTTTGAATGAACAGCTTCATTATACTGAATGAGTTTGTTTTCACTACACTGAATGTTTTGTGTTTATATGTGTTGTTACAGGAACACCTGATTTCTACAGGACTATTGTTATTAAAATTAAAAACAGGTTTCCAGTGATCAGACTCCTGTTGTGCATTATTTTTTAAAGGACAGTTTCTTATGATTCTCAGTGTTTTAGTTGTTCCGGTAGTGAATCTGTTGCAGTAAAAGCGGATCTGGATGAGATCAGATGTTATAAATAGAGCTGCCAGATGTCTCTGTGTTTATTCTCTTACATAAGATGAAGGACAGAGACGCGTTTTACTTTCACCTCGTTGAGTTTGTGGTTCATTTTGAAACATTTAAAACAGACACTGTAAAAGATAAAATCATGTCACATTACAGATTTGTAGTTTTTTGTTCAGGAGCTTTGTGAAGTCCAGCGTGTTTGACTCAAGCTCGCGACAACAACAGCACGACACGAAGTAGGATTTTCAAAATAAAGTCTTATCTACAGCACAGCAAGAAGTTGTCTCTAAATTGTCATTGTCATGAACATTAGCGATATTATGTGTATTCTTCTTTTTATCATTTTTGTTTTTAGAGGGGGGTTCGAAGCATTACGGGACTCATCTTCATGCATTTGGACACAATATTTACTCCCTATTTTTAATTATTTATTGATCTCATCTATATTATTTGTGTTTGACCTCCTGGTTTCAGCCCTGTCGCTCCTGGATTCTTCTCAAGAACAAGAACACAGATCATCTCCAAGAATGTTTTAACCTTTTCGCTAAACGTTCTGCTTTTATTGTGAAGGCAGTGAGCCGCACTTCCGGCCCGCCTCTGCTAGTTCCGTCCAGCTTGACTCGGCTGCTCTCTGTCTTCCTGGTTTTTTCGGGCTTGACGCGTTTCTTTCTGACAGTTTTTAAACAAAAAAACTTCATCTGGACGAGATTCACTCAACTTTTCTCCAGAAAAGAGTTTTTAAACTCCGGTTTTTCATCCAAACTGTAGCGAGAGTGTAAAATCTGATGCGCGGAGACTTTAAACGGACGATCTTTTTCCATCCTGCAGATTAAACATCCATCAAACATGAGACAAGAAGTCACTTTTATCACTGTTGTTATGGTTTTAACGGAAGCAGCCGTGTCTCCGCCCGCAGACACAGAAGAGCAACATTACAGTAAGTGTTTAAACCGTGAAGGTTTATTTAAATGTCTGCTTTTATGTTTCAAAGCTGAAGCAACAAGCCGGACTTCAGTTAATGCTGAATGTATGGAAGCTCAAACCCGCCGAAATACAAAAATCTGATTAAAAGCTGCGAATCATAAATATAAAAATTGTCCTGGTAAATCAAAATAATGAGATAATATGTCACATATGTGAGTTTTAAAGTCATAATTACGACATGTAGTAAAAGTTTTTAAGCCCTATGTATTAGCATCTCATAACCATAATGTAATAAATAAAAAGTTTGACTTGTTGAGTCAAAATTATGAGATTATAAATCAACAGTTGCAGCAGATTTTGTCGGCTGCACGTCGACCACATCCCAAAGGTGCTCTACTGGATTGAGATCTGGACTGTGGAGGCTTTTTGACTTTTAAACTCATAATTGTGAGATACTAAGTCAAATAATTGAGACAATATATCAAAATTTTGACTCTCTCATCTTACTACCTACCATTTATCTTTCTTTCTTACGGTCTTATAACTCATACCTATCTGATGTATCTAAGTTAAGATCATGAGATACTATATCACATATACCTCTGAACAATGTAAAAGTGATGTTTGATTTTGCAAGTCATTGTAATAGCATCTCATAACTGTGATTTAACCAATCAATGAGGTAAAATCATGAGATTATAAATCAAAATTTGTCATTTTACTACTTACAATCTATCTTTGTTATAGCCTTACAACTCATAGCTATCTCATTATCTCATATCTTTCCTCAACTTTTAGGGACAGTAAGTCAAAGGTTTGACTTTGTAAATCAAAATTATGAGGTAGTATGTCATATATGTGAGCAATTAGGACATAGGATGTAAACGTTTGATTTTGATTAGTCAATATTATGAAATATCTCAAAACCGTGATTTAATCAATCAAATATTTTGACTTGTTGAGTCAAAATAATGAGATTATAAATCAAAATGTGACTTTCAAACTCATAATTGGGAGATACTGAGTCAAATAATTTAGATTGTAAGTCCATATGTTGGTTTAATATCTCATATCTTAATACATACTTACAATCTAGCTTACTTGCTTACATCTCATATCTAATTCTCTGTAAAAAAAAAAAAAAAAAAAAGATAAGTGATAATTATATAAAGTGATTTTTGACTTTTAAAGTCAGAATTGTGAGACACTGAGTCAAAATCTTCCATAAACACAGGAGACTTGTGTTCCCTCTGCAGCGTCTCTCAGGTCGATGCTGGACGACTTCGACGTGCTGCCTCTCTCCAGCCTGCAGGCTCACTCCGTCCGCCGCCGCGACGTCCAAACTGAAACTCACGTGGAGAAGCTGCTCAGCTTCGACGCCCTGCAGAGGTCAGAGTCCACTTCCTGTTCAGTTCAGGCGCTGCTAAATAATGCGCTGTCATTGGTGTCCTTGTGCTGTTCTCATCTGTGTGGACGTAAATCGCATGTGTAGGCACTTCAGACTGTACCTGAGGACCAACGACCAGCTGTTCACGGAGGACTTCAGGGCCGTCGTCGTGGACGAGGACGGCCGAGAGCGAAGCTACCCGGTGGACAGACACAACTACTTCACCGGACACGTTGTCGGTAACTCTGATCCGTCCGGAAGCAAAGATCTTCAGGGAGACGACGACAGAGAGGGTTTCTTTATCTGTGTTTCTGTATCTGTTCCAGGGGAGGAAAACTCTCGGGTCCAGGCTCACATAGACGACAACGAGTTCTCGGCTCACATCCTGACCGACGAGGCCGAGTACAACATCGAGGTGAACATGAACACAAGTCTTCATCGGGGAAATGTCCGGGAATAAGTCAAGATCACATGATGCAAAAGAACAGACTTTACAGCATGTTGTGCTCTGACAATAAAGTCTGTAACACCCACATCTAATCCCGCTCTTCTTCTCTCCGCTGTGTTCAGCCTCTGTGGAGGTTCACGTCGGCGCCCCCTGATGGTCGTCTGCTGGTCTACCGCTCAGAGGACATCAGGAACCTCAGCCGACTGCACCAGCCTTCAGTCTGCGGCTACGTGACCTCTGACCCCGGCCACCTCCTCCCCGACGGTGTGAAGACGGCCATGTTGGGGGAGCAAGAGGAAGAAGGTAAGCAGATCTTAACAGAAGAAGAACTGGAAAAACTGGCCTAATGAACTGTGTGGTGCCCTCTGGTGGTGGTCGTAGCGCTGACTGTGCGTTTGTGTCTTCACCTGCTCAGAGTCCGTGGCCAGAGGGAAGCGTCAGCTCCACGATCACCTGAAGAACACCTGTCCTCTGCTGCTGGTGGCCGACCATCGCTTCTTCAAACACATGGGCCGCGAGGAGGAGAGCACCACCCTCAACTACCTGGTCAGTACTCAGTCCACAGCTCTCATTTATCCTCCGTGGCCACGATCTCGCTCACCGCCCGTCTGTTTCCAGATCGAACTGATCGATCGGGTGGACGACATCTACAGAAACACGTCGTGGGACGATGAGTTCTCGGGTTACGGGGTTCAGATCCAGCAGGTGAGGACAGCTACACTCTTCTTCTAATACCACATTTAGACCAGGTGTGTGACACTGAAACGCTGCTCGCCTCCGCTCAGATCATCATAGAGAAGAGTCCGACCCCGGTGGCTTCAGGAAGAAACCACTTCAACATGGAAGGAAGTCCGGTGGAGGGTCGAGACGTCTGGGATGTCAAGAAGCTGCTGGAGGTAAAAGTTTTAACTTACAACCATAACAAGATTACAGGAGACCTCCAGCCTTCAGGGTCTCAGAGGGAGGCTGGTACATGTCCTCAGGTGATCGAAGTCAGCGCTCTGAGATCTCTGCTGTCTCGTGTCCCTGCAGCAGTTCAGCGTCGACATCGCAGATAAAGCCTCCAACGTCTGCCTGGCGCACCTCTTCACTTACCAGGACTTCGACGAGGGCACTCTGGGTCTGGCCTACGTCGCCCCGTCCAAGCCGGACATCCCCGGGGGGCTCTGCTCCAAAGGTAAAGTCCCGCCGACTCATCTCGGACCCTGATCTCCTTCAAACACCAGAAACAATTAACGATTGCTGTCTTTGTTCTCAAGCCTGTCCGTCGTCTACCAACGAGCCGAGAGCGATCTACCTCAACACGGGTCTGACCAGCACCAAGAACTACGGGAAGACCATCCTGACTAAGGTTAGTACATAAAGAACTTTCTTTTTGAGGTGGAGGTACTAGAAGCAGGTATTAATGTTTGTCCCGGGCGTGGCGAGGAGATAATGATCCGTTCGTTGCCGTCCCGGCAGGAAGCTGACCTTGTGACGACTCACGAGCTCGGGCACAACTTCGGAGCAGAACACGACCCCGACAACATCCCGTACTGCGCCCCCCAAGAGGACCAGGGAGGCAAATACGTCATGTACCCCATCGCCGTGAGCGGAGACCACGTCAACAACAAGGTGCCGGCTCCGCCCTCGCCGCCGCCGCCGCCGCTGGTGCTCAGGGGTTTCCCCCGTTCACTGATGAATCCGGTCTCTCCTGTTTGTCCAGATGTTCTCCAACTGCAGCAAACGCT